TTGATAACGTGCTCATTCAGTCCCAGTCCAGCTGGCCTTGGTGAGCTCTCACTAGATCAGTCCCCTTGTATCAGTGGGTGAACGCACTCCTCACAGTCCTGCCTTCCTTGTTCATGTTCTATCTCCTTCGGCTCCTCATTTGGACCTTGGGGGATCAGTCCAGTGCTCTAATGTGGGTCTCTGTCTCAATCTTCATCATTCGTCGGATGAAGGTTCCCTCTGATCCTGCCTTCTTGCTCATGTTCTCCCTCCTTCTGCTTCTCATTTGGACCTAGGGAGTCCAGTGTTCCAATGTGGGTCTCTGTCTCTATCTCCATCCATCGCCAGATGAAGGTTCTATGGTGATATGCAAAATATTCATCAGTATGGTTATGGGCCAAGGCCACTTCAGGCACCCTCTCCTCTGTTGCCCAAGGAACAATCTGGGGACCTCTCCTTGGACCTGGGAACCCCTCTAGAATCAAGTCTCTTGTAAACCCTAAAATGGCTCCCTTAGTTGAGATATATACTTCCCTGCTCCCATATCCAGTCTTCCTCCCTCCCCCATCCCAATCCCCCAAGCTTTCCCCAATCGTCCCCTACTCCCGTCTCTCTAACCCTCTTCCCTTCCATCCCCCCTGCACCCACCCAAGGTTGCCTGGCAATCTTGTCTACTTCCAATATCCAGGAGGATAACTACATGATTTTTTTCAGGTTCACCTTCTTATTTAGCTTCTCTAGGATCACGAATAATAGGCTCAAAGACCTTTAATTATGGCTAGAATACACTTATGAGTGAGTACATACCATATTCCTCTTTGTGGGTCTGGCTTACCTCACTCAGTAAAGCGTTTTCTATTTCCATCCATTTGCATGCAAAATTCAAGATGTCATTGTTTTTTAACGCTGAGTAAAACTCTAATGTATATATGTTCCACACCTTCTTTAACCATTTTTCTATTCAGGGGCACCTAGGTTGTTTCCAGGTTCTGGCTATTACAAATAGTGCTGCTATCAACATAGTTGAACAAATGCTTTTGTAGTATGTTAGGGAATCTCTAGGGTATATTCCCAAGAGTGGAATCCTGGGTCCTGAGGGAGGTTGACTCCCAGTTTTCTGAGGAACCGCCACACTGATTTCCACAGTGGCTGCACAAGTTTGCATTCCCACCAACAATGGATGAGTGTTCCCCTCACTCCACATCCTCTCCAGCATAGGCTATCATTTGTGTTTTTGAGTTTAGCTAATCTGACCGGTCTAAAATGGTATCTCAAAATTGTTTTGATTTGCATTTCCCTGATCGCTAAGGACCTTAAGTGTCTTTTGGCCATTAGAAGTTCTTCTGTTGTGAATTCTCTGTTCAGATCAGTACCCCATTTTTTTATTGGGTTAATTAGAGTTTTAGTGTCTAGTTTCTTGAGTTCTTTGTATATTCTGGAGATCAGACCTTTGTCTGATGAGGGGTTGGTGAAGATTTCTCCCAGTCGGAAGGTAGCCTTTTTGTCTTACTGACAGTGTCCTTTGCTTTACAGAAGCTTCTCAGTTTCAGTAGGTTCCATTTATGCATTGATTCTCTTATTGTCTGTGGTACTGGAGTTCTACCTAGGAAGTGGTCTCTTGTGCCTATGTCTTATAGACTACTTCCCACTTTCTCTTCTATCTGGTTCAAAGTGGTGAGATTAATGTTGAAGTCTTTAATCCATTTGGACTTGAGTTTTGTGCATGGTGATAGATATGGATCTACTTTCATTCTTCTACAGGTTGACATTCAGTTATGCCAGCACCATTTGTTAAAGATGCTTCCCTTCTTCCATTGTATACCTTTAGAACCTTGTCGAAAATCAGGTGTTCATAGGTTTGTGGGTTAATATCTGGGTCTTCTATTCGATTCCATATGTCAACTTCTCTGTTGTTATGCCAATATCAAGCTGTTTTCAATACTGTAGCTCTGTAATAGAGTTTGAAGTCAGGGATGGTTATACCTCCAGAAGTTCCTTTATTATATAAGATTGTTTTGGCTATCCTGGGTGTTTTGTTTTTCCATATAAACTTGATTATTTTTCTCTCAAGGTCTGTGAAGAGTTTTGATGAGATTTTGATGAGGATTGCATTGAATCTATAGATTGCTTTTGGTAGAATTGCCATTTTAACTATGCTGATTCTTCCAATCCAAGAGCAGGGGAGATCTTTCCATTTTCTGGTATCCTCTTCAATTTCTTTCTTCAAAGAGATAAAGTTCTTGTCAAATAGGTCTTTCACTTCCTTGGTTAGAGTTACCCCAAGATATTTTATGCTATTTGTGTCTATCGTGAAAGGTGAAGTTTCTCTGATTTTCTTCCCTGCTTCTTTATCATTTGTGTATAGGAGGGCAACTGATTTTTTGGAGTTGATCTTGTACACTGCCACATTACTAAAGGTGTTTATCAGCTGTAGGAGTTCTTTGGTAGAGTTTTTGGGGTCGCTTATGTAAACTATCACATCATCTGCAAATAACGAGAGTTTAACTTCTTCCTTACCAATTCAAATGCCCTTGATCCCCTTATGTTTTCTTATTGCTATTGCTAGAACTTCAAGCACTATATTGAAGAGGTATGGAGAGAGTGGACAGCCTTGTCGTGTTCCTGATTTCAATGGAATGGCTTTGAGTTTCTCTCCATTCAGTTTGATGTTAGCTGTCTGCTTGCTGTAAATGGTTTTTATTATATTTAGGTATGATCCTTGTATCCCCAATCTCTTCAACACCTTTATCATAAAGGGATGTTGAGTTTTGTCAAATGCTTTTTCAGCATCCAGTGAAATGATCATATGGTTTTTTTTCTTTCAGTTTATTTATATGATGGATTACATTAATAGATTTGTGTATGTTGAACCAGCCCTGCATCTCTGGGATGAAGCCTACTTGATCATAATGGATAATTTTTATAATGTGTTCCTGGAGTCGGTTTGCCAGAATTTTATTGAGAATTTTTGCGTCGATGTTCATGAGTGAGATTGGTCTGTAATTCTCTTTCTTGGTTGTGTCTTTCTGTGGTTTTGGTATCAGGGTAACTGTAGTTTCATAAAAAGAGTTTGGCAATGATTCTTCTGTTTCTATATTGTGAAAAACATTAAGGAGTATAGGTATTAGCACTTCTTGAAAGTTTTGGTTGAATTCTGCATTGAAACCATCTGGTCCTGGGCTTTTTTTGGTCGGGAGGTTTTTGATAACAGCTTCTAATTCTTCGCAACTAGCAGGTCTATTTAGATTGTTCACCTGGTCTTGATTTAACTTAGGTAAATGGTACTTATCTAAAAACCAGTCCATTTCTTGTACATTTTCCAACTTTGTGGCAAATAAGCTTTTTTTAAAATAAGCTTTCGTAGTAAGATCTAATGATTCTCTGAATTTCCTCTGTGTCTGTTGTTATGTCCCCCTTTTCATTTCTGATCTTATTAATTTGAGTGTTCTCTCTCTGCCGTTTGATTAGTTTGGCTAGGGGTTTGTCAATCTTGTTGATTTTCTCCAAGAACCAACTTTTTGTTTCATTGATTCTTTGGATTGTTTTCTGTGTTTCTATTTTGTTGATTTCAGCCCTCAGTTTGATTATTTCCAGTCTTCTACTCCTCCTGGGTGAGTCTGCTTTTTTTTTCCTAGAGCTTTCACGTGTGCTGTTAAGTCTCCAATGTGTGCTTTCTCTGTCTTCTACACCTGAGATTCTCTCTTCCATCTGTTGTATTCTGTTGGTTATGCTTGCATCTGTAGTTCCCATTCTTTTACCCGGATTTTTCATTTCCAGAATTCCCTCAGTTTGTGTTTTCTTTATTGCCTCTATTTCAGTTTTCAAGTCTTAAAGTGTTTGAAATGTTTGCTTCACCTGTTTGATTGTTTTTTTTCTTGGTTTTCTTTTTTTTTACGAGATTCATTGATTTCCTCCAATTTTTGTTTGTCTTTTCCTCTATCTCTTTAAGGGAATTTTTCATTTCCTCTTTAAAGGTCTCCATTATTCTCACAAAGTTACATTTAAAATCATTTTCTTCTGCTTCTTCTGAGTGAGGATGAGCAAGACTCCCTTCTGTAAGACCACTGGGTTGTGGTGTTACCATGTTGCTTTTTAAGTTGTTGAAAGAATTTTTGCATTGATGCCTGCAGAATCAAAGTTCCTCCATTTTGTCCTCCGCCTCCATCTTGTGTCTTGTGCAAGATATTTCCCATAAAACATTCCAGTCCTCAGAAATGGCTAGGGGCAAAAATAATAGGGTAGCCATCTGGAAAGTACAGGTAGCTACAAAATGTCCCTACCTGTCAGCAAATAAGAAAACTTTACAAACATCAGGTGAGTTTTGAAAAAAAAAGTTCTGAATAGTCCCTATATAGGAGTCAATCCGGGTTGAATCCATCATACCACACCCTGCTAATGTAATTTTTCTGGTTTTTGCCTTTAAATAATACCCTCTAGAAGGATAGGGTACCTCCTTCCTTTGCTGCTGCTGTGCCAATTGCTTTGATGATGTCCCTGCTGGCTTATATCGTGCACACAATAAAGCTTGTTTTTGCATTTCAGTGAGTCGATTTCCCTAGTGGTCTTTTGGGGTCCCCACAGACTTGGTACAACAGTACCTACCAACCTTTTCTTCAAATAGATGCTGGCAGTGTCTTTGCCTTTTAGTCTATTCCTTGCAGTTGCTGTCTTTCTTTGCTTTAGAGAGTTGTTCTTGATCTGCTTGGTATTGTCACTATCTGTATCTCAGGGAGCCGCTGAGGTCTCTCTTGGCCTGCTTGCTTGGTTTACTCTGTGTAGTCACAGCCTGTGCTTCAGAGTTCCTCTGAGGTCATGAGGGATAGAAGGGTTTGGGGACCGAGTGGGACTTGTGACTTACAGGATCCAATTGATGGGGTGGGGTATTGGAGCAGCTTGTCTGCAGGAAGCTTGCCTGCTGACTGGCTAGAGAAGCTGAGGCAGGTGGGGGAGGTGCCTGGGTTTTTGTCCTGGTACTGAGGACCGAGTGAGTGGGGTGCTCAGCTTGATGGGTACTCACTCACCTCTTGGTCTGCTCTATGCAGTCTCATCCTGTGCTTCAGAGGTCCTCTGAGGTCACGGAGAATAAGACGGTTTAGGGACAGAGTGGGACTTGCAGTTCCAAACTAGGAGAACAACTTTTAATATTGTCACATTAGAAAAAAAAAAGCAGAAACAAAATTCACCAACCAAAGCATGAGTGATGCTGCTGACACATTTGTCCTCCTAAACCCTTATTTATGATATAATTTTAGCAAGGCAAATGCAGTGAGCATTGCTCTGAGAACTTAATCACTGGTGCCTTCAACAAGAATCTTAAAGTCTGTTTTATGAAAAAGTTTCAGACACTGTGAGAATGCATCAATGGAGAGAGATCTATGTATCCTTGCATGAAGCATAAGTGGACAATGAAGGACAAAGAAGGGAGAGGGAAGCAGGAGTGTGCAAAGGCTATGTGCTGCACAGGAGCACAAAAATTCAGGGGATAAAATTAATTTGGCAATGCTGGATTCCACTAGCTTATACAGGGAAGGATTTGGGGGTGGGCGATTGGTTGTGTTTTGTTTTGTTTTTGATGTAGTAAACTCAAGTGAATGTTAGGGCTAGCTCATAGCAGCCCATGAATTGTCATGTCCTGTGGAGAGGATCTTGGATGCAAAAGACTTTATTTCTTCCACCACCTCAGTCATCTGTTTCCCTTTACATGAATTACTTTTCCCTTTACTCATCAGAAAAAGTGATTGTTAGGTGATGCAATAGTCTGCTCTGTCCCTTTAAGAGACAAGCTACACCCACTCCTTTAAAGTCTGCTGAGGCAAGCCGATCTTGCTTCCAGCCTTAGTCCCCTCCTTCTTCCTTTTCCATCTCCCTCTCGAAGAGGCAGCTTCTGTCTCTCCCCACTTCTCCCCTTCCCACCTTCTCTCTCTCTCTCTCTCTCTCTCTCTCTCTCTCTCTATCTCTCTATCTATCTATCTATCTCTCCCTCCCTCTCCCTCTCCCTCTCCCTCTCCCTCTCCCTCTCC